GTGTGTGTGTGTGTGTGTGTGTGTGTGTGTGTGTGTGTGTGTGTGTGTGTGTGTGTACACCAGAACTTCTTTATCCAGTCATCTGTTGATGGACATTTGATGTTATCTAATGATAAAATTTAGGTTGTTTCCATGTCTTGACTATTGTAAATAGTGCTGCTCATCCTTTTTGATCATATCCATTCTAATGGGTGGGATATAGTATCTCTTTGTGGTTTTAATTTGCATTTTCCCAATGACTACTGATGCTGATGATCTTTTCATATACATCTTCTTCAGGTCACACCTCAGTCTTAGGACAGATAAAGATTAAAATACCTTTATATAGAGAGAAACTGATGAAGGAAGAAGAAATCTTTCTTTCAATCATCTTTCTTTCAAATGAGGCCAAATTAATAGTTGTTTGAAAATGCAAAGGGGGAATACTTCTTTAAATACATAGCATGGGACTCTGGGGTTAAAAAACCCTTTTATCTTTAAAAAGTAAGAAAAGATAACTTCAAGGTTAAACGATTGAGAGGAAATTTCTCTTTTAGAGTAGATAAATAAGTAGTAAATACTGTTCACTCAAAGAATTAAAAGTAGACTTGAAAAAGACATTATCACCAATGTTCCTGTCTTTTGAGGAGCCTTTGAGACTTACCTAGAAGTTAGTAGACAATGTAACAAATCTACTATTTTGAAAAAGGTAGTTACCATTATAATTTAAATGAACCCACATAGAAAAACTCAGTTAACAGGAAAGATAAAGTATATGTGTGTGGGGAGATTGGTGGGGAGCTGTCACACAGCCCTGCCCCTAATGGTGCTCAATTAATATTTGTTGACTGGATTAATTTTAAAATCACTTCTACTTTACTTAACAGTAATAGCTACTAATTACTGAGTGCTCACATGTGCCAGATAAGAGCTTCATGTCTGTTATCTCATTTACTCATCTATGAGGAGGTATTTGTATGATAATCTCAGGTGGATGAAGAAACTGAGCCTTAGAGAGTTTAAGTAAATTGTCCAGAGTCAAATAGCTGCCAAGTAACTGACACAGCCAAATTCAAACTCGGGTCTCTAAGACTTCAAAGCCTGTTCCCTTACCTTCTGTACCTCTTGATTTTCTCCAGATTCTCAGGGAAATATCAATTGCAACACAAAGTATATATGTAGTCCAATTACTTCCGTTATTGGATACTCTCCTGCAAGTTTCATGTTGTGTTACATGCTCCCGTCTATCCTTCAGGATATCTCTGAGTGTTTCTTCTGGGAGTTATTTATCAGACAGTTGCCCTTCTTAGGATGCCACTGTACTTATAAAGATTGTGTGGTAGAGTCTTTGACAAATTGAACTTCTACAGGTCAGCTAGAGCTGAATGCTGAAGACAGAGAAAGACCAGGACCTAGTATGAGCACTCTAAACAAGCCTAGAAATGCCAAAGATGCTTCCCTGAGAACTCTACGGAGGC